ACTGGGGTAGAATACGGTAGTCCTGGGAATCCGATTTTGGACTTCATATACATCAAAACAATAAAGTTGAATTATTATAAGCTGATGATGTGATGTGATATAATAAAGATTTTCGGAAAGGAGTAGGAACTGCTGGTGTTTTTATTTATTTACATTTTGCACATACATCCTTGTACAAGGTGGCACAGGCATTCTCTGCCAGTCGAACCTTTGGGTGATTTAGAGAGGAACTAACAGTAGGCGCAAAAAGCAAACAAAATCGAGACATTACTGATAATATACATTTTATACACTTATTTACATAAATACTATACCAAATAAAAAAATATATAAATCTGAAATAAACTTACATATAATATTTACATACACTACTTATATATAATATTATATAGCTGATAATTGTTGCGAAAATTCCGCTAACCTCTTTAGTGGAAGCTTTCGAACTTTTAGTTTGAACTTCATCCGACTGGACACCGTTCTGGCATCAAAGGTGAGTGCATTCCACAATATAATGGCCTGAACAAAGAAAGAAGAATGGAGGACGTTGATACGGTGAGCTGAGCATTGGAGAAGACGGTTATGAGAAGAAATAAGATATTTTTTTGGTTTGCACAAGTGTATTGAAAGTATTTTTTACTTACATAGAAACGAAGAGACCAAATCTTGCCAAAGAGTCTTACTAAGATCGATCCGAATTTCTCCGAACATAACAAAGCGTAAAAGCTGATCCCATTAATCATGGCTAATTGTTCACCATGGTGTAACAATGGCGTCTATTTGCCGTCATGACGTTACAATACATTGTTCTTTGACTTCCAGACGTAATGGCAAATGATAGGAACGAGAAAAAAGGAATTAAGTGCTGATTGGTCTAAAATTGGATACTAAATTCTGATTAGTGGAACAGAAATGGTAATAAATAAATAAAAATTGTAATTGTAAAACATATCACATAACTAGAATTTGCCCGCGGCTCCGTTCGCGTAGAATATTGACATCCAGCAGATTTTTAGTATAAAAACTATCCTATGTCCTTTCTCGAGTCGCACTATGTCTGTACTAAATTTCACAGAAATCGGTCCAGCAGTTTAGGCGTGAACAAAAGACAGACAGACAGAAAGAGCTACTTTCGCATTTATAATATTAGTTTGCATAAGAGACGGCCATACATTACATTGACCTTACAACTTACAAAATTATAACTAAAAAAACTAATAAACCCTGAAACTGAAGGGAAGCTTCATGAAACTGAAATTCAAAGATAACAAGACCGACGACCGGTTGGTACCGTACGGAGTTTACACAAACTTATGAAAGACAATCCCGATTGAACAATTTGCCTAGCTCTTATTAAGTTTAATAATTTCTTTATTGTTTTTACTAGCTACCGAACGTGGCTTCGCACGCGTTTAAAGTAACGTATCGCGGGGTTTTTAAAACAGCACCATTTGATTGAAGCGATAGCTCGATTAAAATATGGCAATCAATTAGTTTTAATTTATAGCCTATAGCACTCGGGAATATTGAAGCTATCTATTAGTTAAAGAATTTTGGAAATCCGACCAACGGTTCTAAAGATTATAAATAGATAAAATTTGTATATACCTGCAAACTGTCAAATTCAATTCAACAAATTTCTTTTTTCTCTTTATACTATTGGTGTAAATTTGTGGTCAAGATGTTGTATATCGATCTGTCAAACAAGATGTTTTTTTAAAGGATGGGAAATCATCAAATGCCTTCTCCCGGCAAGGGTGGGGCGGGAGGGAGTGTCAGCCTCTTACTGACTAAAAACTACCCCGTTCCTTCTTCTACTACGGGCCGGGGCTAGGTGGTACATAATTGAGGTTGTGCCCTCAACTCTCCCTCAAAAAAAGTAGAGTCTGACACTGTTTCTCGCCTTACCTAGGGCGAGAAAAGAGATCTGAAGATTTCACTCATCAAAAAGTCGCGCTCATTTCTTCCAATCCTTCTTTCAATAACAGAATTAATAATTATGTATGCAAAACACTCTTACATACACAAAACATTTAAAAGGGTTTTTTATGTTATAGATCGGCAAACGAACAAACGGATTACCTGATCGTAAGCAATCAGCGCCGCCCATGGACACCCACAACGAAGAAGTTACGAGTGCGTTGCCGACCTTTTAGGGACTAGGGTTTGGGAAATTTAAGGAATGAGGACGGATCGGGGGGGTGAAGTATTGGGCCTCCGGTAACCTCACTTACACGGCGAAACACAACGCTGTGGTTGTTTCACGCCGGTTTTCTGTGAGGTCGTGGTATCACTCCGGTCGAGCCGATCCATTCGTGCCGAAGCTTGGCTCTCCCACAGTTGGCTTAAAACATTTTCAGAATATTTAATCAGCTAATTATGGTATTCCTTTATCGGCCATTGTAACTTAGAAAACAAAATATTTCAAATTAATAATATGTCGACGAATAATTAAATCCGTTTCATATCACATCTGTAGGAACTCTCACGTATACGCTATTGAATACTAGCTTCTAGAACCGGCTTCGCCCATATTACTAGGATACGAAGTACCTAAAGAAATAAGGTTAAAAGCGGGCGCCTCATCCTCGGGGCATTCGGTGGCGGAGTGCCCTGCTTGGGCTGAGCACCGCCGTGTCCTCGGGGAAGTGATGGGCGGCGGCGACCACTCGCGCCCGGGCTTAGTCGAGGCCATGGTTCGAAGCGAAAGGAACTGGGAAGCCGTCTCCTCTTTCTGCGAAGCAGTGATGCTCGCAATGGAGGGGGCGGAGCACGTTTAGGGGACTATCCTCCTCGCGCCCCAGCCGCCGCAGTAGGCGACATCCCGGGCGTCGGGGATCGAGAGGTGATCTCCAGCCACCGTAAGCGCGGGTCTGCGGACGGCGAGTAAGGGTAGCTCGCCGCTCGACCAGATCCAGACCCGAGCGAACGGCGCGTAGCGTTCCGCGCGCGCCTCAAAGATTCAATAGACCACCACAGACGGGGCCCTATAGGCCTGATGTTCAGCTGGGGTTGCGGGGTAAGCGCAATAAGTGGTGACCACCGCGGCCTAGGCGCAGAGCAGGAGAAGGAACGGGGGGTTTTTAGTCAGTAAGAGTCTGGCACTGTCTCTCGCCTTACCCTGGGCGGGAAAAGTCATTTGATGATTTTCCCCTGACAAAAAAAAATCCTCCGGGCCACCACAATGCTTCACCCAAAAACTAAGATTTCAATCAAATTCAAACTACAAATCTAAGATTGACTTCACAGATTCAATAAGGCCAGAAAAACCTTAATACTGCCAGCCCCTCCCTAATGGCGCAGACCCCACAAAAACTTCTAATTCTACAGATAATCGAGAGCCCCGTTTTTGCCAGGGTTCCGTAGCTTGTTAGGGCGGGGCGATGACCTTCCTTAGACCTTTTAACCTTACAATTACGGGTCTTAGAGATGATATTTCGGCTTATAGGTGGTTGATGGTACATTCGAATGGAATACTGATCTGAAATAGGACATTTTGTATTGATTTTCGAGTAGTTCAACTAGTTTAGAGAAGGCTATTCGTTGACAACTTTAAAACACATTCTCCTACAATCTTACTATAATATTATGAAAATGAAAGTTTGTAAAAATCTATGGATGTAAGTTTGTTCACGAAAAATGGCTGGAATGATTTTGTTGAAACTTGGTAGTAGGTATATAGGATAGGTGATAACCTGGATCAACACAAACACTATTTTTCATACATATACCACGCGGAAAAAGCCGCGGTCGGAAGCTAGTTATCTATATATACGGGAACGTATCAAGCCAAGTTCATACAATTTATTCCCGAAACTATCCAACTACCGTGTACCTCTATCACTACAACAAAAACGCTTTCCGCTGTCTATATCTATGCATGCTTATTTTCAAAATTAGATGACAGATTTGGATGAGGTTTTTTTAATAGATGGAGTAATTCAAGAGGTAGGTTTAAACGTAAAATTTATTAAGGCTTGCCGACGAACTTGCTCGCGAATAAGAAGCTAATTTAGATATAAAATATAATTTGAATGTCAATTTGCTAGAGATGGTACCTGAACATTAACGAGTTCTGATGTAAAGTTACAATTTTACTAAATAAATATAATTAAGAAAAACCTATACACCATTTTTTTCTTAAATTTTAATAAATCAAAAATAAACTGGCAAGGAATTTTGACATCTATATGCCTAGCGACAGATCTCAAATTTCCTTTCAGGTTATTTATATCTGCTAAATACAAGATCTGTGACAGACAAGTTGATATATTTACTTGAACGCCCACATTTATATGTGTTCGACGTCTGGGGAATATATTTTTGACGTCCCATTAACCTAGATTGATATATTCGTAAAAGGAATTCTATTTTTAAAATGTATAAGTAATATACCATTTTACGTACAAGCATTCAAAAATAGAATTTTATTAAAAATGTGTATTACACAAAGAGGTCCGAAGTGGTACGTGACACATTCAATTTTTTTTTCGAATTATCGGCAGGTTTCTTTGTATGTACCTATTTCATTGTATGTTCTGACGTCATGTTATTCTGAGTCAAATAGCAAATTTATTTGTTAAAAAATTTGTCCTCAAATCTGATGATCTGTAACATCAGTTTTGCGGACAGAAGTTTAGATGTGACGCGATGTGCCTCGACGACAGGACACTACGGGCTGCTTCAGAAAAATATGACATCATGCCTCTCGCTCGCGGAACGCGACAATGAGCGTAACGCGACAATGACGTCATATTTTTCTGAAGCAGTGTCGCCTTCCCCTAGTGTCGAATCAGACGTTGTCAACTAATGTAAGTGTGATGCGTTGCTTCACTGATGAACAGACTGACAGAAACTATTATTCTATTTTGATATTTTAAAAACACCTATTTATGGTTTAGTTACAATTAAAAAATGACCTTGACTTTGAAAAATCAAAAACAAATAAATAACTAAGACCAATCTACAATTTATTTACATTTGACTTTTCTGCATTGTTCCAGTTGCTTGTTCGACGGTAACGGTGACGAAGTGCCAAGCTGCTCTGAGGACCCTGCAAGCCTTTCCATTCTTCAAGCCGACCTGCCTCTGTCGAGAACCGAACGTGGATCCTGAATGCAACTCCTTCCGCGACTTCCTGTTTGACCATCCCTGCGTGTTTGTGATGAAGAAGGGTAAGTTAATTTTTGAAAAGAGCAAAGGATAGGCTTTGCAAACAAGCAGACTGATTACCTGATGGTAAGCTATCAGCGCCGCCCATGGACAGACCAGCAACGCACTGGCACCTCTTTTGGCATTATCCGCACTATCCCACAAAAAATATCTACGTGAATATTTTACCATAGGGCAACGTCTTACATCAAAACATAGAACCTTTTTGAGTCAGTTACGAGGTGATAAAAAAGAAAAAGAAACTCCACCTCCTCAATAAAGTTTAACTTTCCTAATTGAAAGTAATACATCAGTTGACCTTTACAGAACAGTTCAATTTGATTTACAATATCTATACTACTCCACAGGCTTTCCCTGATAAAGAAAAAATACAATTCTACTATTATCTGCCAAAATAGATTGACTTAAATGAGCTAACTTGGTCTGAATTGTTTTCTTTCAAGGAACATAATTACTGGTCTAACGTTTACATCCATAAGGTGTCCATCTTCAATACGATAGGCTATATTGTGAGAATCATTAGCCTACAAGTGCCTACTGCTGAGCAAAGGCATCTTCTCTCTTGGACAATGTTTGAGCATTTACCACCAAGCTTGTTCGAGGGGATTGGCTGATCCTAATGCTGAAACCTTCTCCGTGTGAGAAAAAGCCTTTGCTCAGCTGTGGGCACTTATAGGCTTATGATGATGATAATTTTATTAAAAAGTCAAACTCGAATATAATTATTTCGATATTGGATTTTGTTACCCACCAGGATTACACAGACAAACGCTATCACCTGGAGACGAAATTAAACCCAAGACATTTTATCGAACAATCACACTAGCAACCACATCACAAACAAGACTAAACTGCCAAATTAGCTCAACTTAAATCGAAAGAATTCTTACAAAATTCTTCATTTTGTAGGAATGCGATAAAAAAGCAATTCTCATCTAATTACATTCTTTTCGCGTATCAAGTTAATTTTCTTTCAGACAAGCCCAATGTTTTTTGATCGAACAATTTGTTCGTAATAGGTTAGCGTTTAGAATGGACAATGCATTGCGTATTTTATTATAGAAACAAAAGAAATACTACAGCGAAACTATTGTGGACAAAATACAAAACAGTCTTCAATTGAGAGCTCTTTAAAGTCTAGTCTAGTACTACTACTTTATCACACTCTTCTATTACCTACATAAGGTACGGCTGAAGTGTGTAATAGATAGCCCTTTGGCGATTAAAATATTTTTTTTATGTGATAGGTCGGCAAACGAGCAGACGGATAACCTGATGGTAAGCAATCAGCGCCTCCCATGGACACCCGCAACAACAGAGGAGAAACGAGTGCGTTGCCGACCTTTTGGGAGTTAGGGATTCGAGATATTTAGGGATTGGGGAGGGATTTGGGGTGGGGCAGGATTGGGCCTCCGATAACCTCACTCACACGGCGAAACACGACGCTGTGGTTGATTCACGTCGGTTTTCTTTGAGGCTGTGGTATCACTCCGGTCGAGCCGACCCATTTGTGCCGAAGCATGGCTCTCCCACACTTAACTTAAAATTTATACTAAGGCGAGTTTGTCAGGTTCTGTATTGGCCACTATCTACTAAATTGAACACAGAATAAAATTTATAATATGAACCATCTATAGCGCTGGTTCGAAAACCAGACAACTGAAAGTTGTTTTCAAAGATTTTTAGATAACTGACATACGGTATAGGAAAAGACCGTGATGAAAACTGGATTTATAAAAAGCGAAGCGTAATGGTTAATGCTCAAGCCTTCTCCGTCTGAAAAGAGGCTTGTGTTCAGAAGTAGGCACTTAAAGGATGATGAGGTAAGCAGTGAGTTTAAAAAAAATATGATAGTCGTGAAACTGATGAAAAACACAAATAATTATATTTTCTGTCTTTTTAATATTGTCCACGTATTTACTACAACTAGATATTTCCAGTTCTCCGTAACCCGTCAATGTTGCCAGATTACAACGTTAAAAATATTTTCGTTATACAAACTCTCAGTTTTATTGCGTGTCAAAGTTTTTTTTTGTGACCACCCTATGTTGTGGGCGACAATGTTTACGAACTTCGAATGTACTGACAAAGTGGGTATGATAACCGTAACAGAGTTTTTATGTAACACGCTGTATATGAGCGTGTGTTTAGTTGTTTTTTTTTGGAAATTCGTAGTTGGAAAACTTTATTTTATCTATTTCTTTTTTTAAATATTGAAGACGTTGTTTTGTAATTTCATTATTGATTCATTGCTGAATGTAATATCAAAATCGAAAAGCTGTACTGAACTAATTACTAAATATTATATAACTAAATTGATTTAAATTAATCTAAAATGATAGCACATGATATGATGAGTTACAAAGAAATTGACATTATCCCGCACTGAGCTATGCTCATGTGTCGTCTGTGGGTTTACAAACATACAAGATCATATAGACATGAGTCTCAGACTTGGAATAAATATGTGAGAAACACATAAAGCGTTGTTTCATGTGGGAATCCAATCAGTGACATGATGCGCAACAGCCGGTTGCTCAGCCACTATGCTCACCAAGCAGTTATAATAAATGTAACACCTTCTACCTGCCAGTTACATATTAAATGTATGCCTTATTTTGCTGTGCCCTACAGGGTCCATAATTGATCTCACACAAATTGTTACCACCTTTAAATGTACTTATGGAAAAGCAATAAAGATATTGAGTATTGAGTATAAATAAGTTCGAACCAAGAATATTTCCATAATCAACTACATAGTTTAAAACAAGGTCTCTTTCTCTGTTGCTATATCCCAATGTATGCTTTAATCTTTGAAACTACGCAACGGATTTTGATGCGGTTTTTTTAATAAATAGAGCAAAAAAAGAGAAATGTTTATGTGTATAATAACATCCATAAATAGTAGAGAAATTTGGTATTAGCGTTGCATCCGTGCGTAGGGGCGGATTGCTATACATAAAATTAACCTTAATAAGCCCTAATCTTCTTTTTTCTTTTCTAGAAAAAGACCCGTATCCAGTGGAGACCCTGCCGACTTGCACGTATGCCCTGAGCGTCTGCCACAATGAAAGAGCCTGCTCCGTACTCTTCGATCGATTCAAGAACGCTTGCAAAGCCCGCGATGGTGAATGCCGAATGGATGACAGGTAATCTTCTGTTACGTCTATAGCTAACCCAGTCGTAAATTGGTCGACCTGAAGTGATACTGTGACAATAGTTCACCATATAAAAATGTGTAAGATAAAATTTGTAGAGAATTTTATATTCTACAATATTGTTATACATACATAAAGCTATATGTAAATATAGCTTTAAAGGGCAAAATAACACACACACACAACTTGACACAACTGTTTGCAGACTTACATCTGACTCTCGAATTCCAAGATTCTTGCCTAATATGGGCCTACATTTAGGCTTAAATGATTGTACTACAATCCTTATTAGCTTATGAGAACATGTAAGTAATAAAACTTTCCCAGGCCTAAGAACTGAACCACTAGAACCCAGGACTAGACGCTCCAATAGCACAACGAGACAGTGTAAATACCTTAAGAGCATTTTAATAGTATTTGCAGCAATGAAACTTTTCTGGCAAAAACTTGCTTATGATGCATATGAACTAAAAGGGTAAGGTAAGGTAGCTAGCTATTGAATTTTTTTTTGTCAGGGGAAAGTCATCAAATGACTTCTCCCACCCAGGGTAAGGCGAGAGAGTTCTTTCTCCTGCTCTGGGCTATTGACCTCTACTGGAGTGGTGAGTGCAATAATGCATCCTGGCTGCATTCTGGAGCAGGAGAAGGAACAAGGTGGTTTTTAGTCAGTAAGAGTTTGACACTCCCTCTCAGGTCATTGAAGGCGGAATGATCGAACGGTCGAATGATTTTCGATGATTTGATTTTCCCCATAAATTTCCAAAAAATACTTATAGTGAATTTGACGGGATACGAAGGGATTAGATAAATATAAAAAACCGTCTAAAATAAAATATATCAAAGTAACCTTTTCACGGTTCAATTTGGCAGAAGGATTCTAAAAATATATACTTACCTAGTTGATAAAAATGATCAAAACTGAAACTGACATTTAATATCGGATAAAAAAGTCTTCAAAGTCCGTCAAAAATGAGGTTTTTAATATGTACAAAATAATTTCCTGTGAATCGATAATTATATTCCAATATTTATAGACTTAAGGCTTCGGGAGAATATTAAGTGGGTAAACAGAAAATGAATTATTTGCTTAATTTTAGTTTTTTTTTAAGAAGACGGTATCAAGTCATAAACAAGATATTATGCTCCAATTAATTTCGCACTTGGTCTGTTTCTTTTATTACCCCAACTAGATCCGTAGAGCATATCTACAGGTATGCTCCGGACTGTCTAGTGTCTTTAAGGTTATTTTCTTTTTATGTTTCTCTGTATAGTAGCGTCACACTGTTGTCACATAATCAAACCAACTAAATAATGTATCAAAGAATCTTTATGTGACACTGATTTAAAAAAAGTAACCATGGAGTTTCTTGCTCGTTCTTCTCCATCGGAATATACACTTTGGAACGAGCAAATAGCTTCACTAAGAGGACTGACCGATAAACTGACACTTTATATCTTAAAAATTTAGTTTGACGTTCAAAAGTGCATGTCTGTTCAAAAGTGGGTCTAATTGAAATAAATGATTTTGACTGTTTATGTTTGACCTTTTTCTCCACCAGGGAGGCATGTCGTGAAGCCTGGGCTGGTCTCCGTCTCTCCCCACTCTTCGGCTGCATCTGTCCCAACACCCACATGAAGAAACGTTGCGACCGCATATTCGCTGTGGTAAACCACAACCCATGTGTCGGTGAGTAAGCACCTTTACTGCTGACGCCATATTTATTCACGAGTTCTGAGTGATTTTAAAAATATAAACACATGTAGGGTGACTGGTAATTATAATAATATTAATAAACCTTTATTCAGACCACAGTTAACAATGTCAAACATAATTTACTTTATCTAACAATCTGACGAGTTGGTGGCACCAACAACCTGGTCTCTTTGCCCAACTTTGGCAAAGACCTTCTCCATCAATGGTACTAAGTGACCGATATTGACACATGGTAACAAACAACTTTCCCAAAGAAACTGTATTTCTATACACATTATTTTAATTTTATTACTATAGCAAAATTACTGTGCAAATTTCAAACGAGATCGCGTTGTGTAACTTCGTATTAATCGGAAAATATCACATTACTCGTGCACGTATGATAATCATATGTAAATATATTTTGGCTACGAAAAATAATTATTAATGTATATTATTTTTCGAAAATAAATACTGTGACAAACTACCTTTGAACACATTGACATTAATCATTAATAAGACACAAATAAAACATTAAAATAAATAAACTGTCTGTCAATCCAACATTGTTACAAACTATAAATCAAATCAAATCAAATGCTATAAATATAACTTTTGGTCCGTCAAACAAACTTTTTTTTTTCTATCGGATTTGATAGTGACTTGGTATCCCATTATTTTATTTTTCGGGTTCTAGGACTGTGTCTGAGTGATGTGTTTGTGAAATTGTATATTTGTAAACACATCCACGACACAAAAGAACATACTAATGTGGAGCAATTTAAAAAAGTTTATTTCGTCTGAAAACTTGCTTAACGATCTAGACTAATCTGGATATTTGAAAGAAACTTTATTGTATTAAAAATCCAAAGAATAAGGTCGCATTTTAATTACTAACTACGGCCTTCAATATTAACTCACATGGACTAGATAATTTTAATTATCGTTGATTTATTATGATTTATAATGTCAACATCAATATCAACGATAATTAAAATATCTAGTCTTCAAAAATATGACTAACTAGCTACTCTCGCGCGGTTTCACTAGCTGCTCGGCTCCATTTAATCACTCAGGAACATTAGCTATCTATCAGTGAAATAGTTTTGGCAATCCGAAAAACGGTTCCAAAGGTTACCCCCTACATACAAACTTACAAATTTTACCTCTTTATTATATTAGTATAGATAGTATAGATATAGCAAAGAGAGTTAAAACAAAAATACAAACCTCAATCAAATCCTGCCTAAAACCGCATACAAAACCTATCTCAAAAGCCCTCTAGAAATTCGAAACTATTTCCATTAGTGTGGGGAATCAATACGGCCCGTTATCCCGGGATTCATTCAATAACCACTCGGTCAGTTAATATAAAGGAGTTCCTAACTAAGTATTGACCAGTACATCCCACTCTGCCAGTCCCGGGACATAGATTATTATTCTCGTAGACGGTACTATTCAAAAGGTAATTTTGCCTATTTGACGAATTGGATTTTATTTTTAGATAGGGAAAATTGGTTAAGAGGCTAATGAAAGGAAGAATGGTTGTAGGTAAAAGTTCTTTTGTATGTTTATTTATATTTCTGGTGGTATTGTTTGAGTTGGTATTGTGATGAATGAAAAATGGCTTAGTATGAGTATCAGTTGAATAGACTTAAGATCTCATTGATTGCTAATACTACTAACTGCCAAGCAGTGTGATCCTTAAATGTGTCAGATTATATCACTGTATAGTATAAAACAAAGTCGCTTTTTCTGTCCCTATATCCATATGTATGCTTAAATCTTTAAACAATATAACTTATTTTGATGAGGTTTTTTAATAGATAGGATTGTTGAAGAGAAAAGTTTATAATGTAACATAGGAATCATTAAATATTGGAGCAATTTAGTGTGCGAAACGAGTTGCTAGTATTTTTCGGTCGGTCGGTCGGCAAACGAGCGGACGGATTACCTGATGGTAAGCAATCAGCGCCGCCCATGGACACCTACCAACCTCACTTACGGTTGTTTCACGCCGGTTTTCTGTGAGGTCGTGGTATCACTCCGGTCGAGCCAACCCATGCGTGCCTAAGCATGACTCTCCCACACTTAAGTATAATATACATATGATGTTTTTTTATGGATATCTTTAGTAATATTACGACCAAATGTGTTAAACGTAAAGCAATATGCTCGCTATTAATTACATTAAATGATATGGTGCTTCATATATTTTGAAAATATTCTTCTGTGGCGGTATTTATTACAGAACCGATACAACCTATAAGTCATTTTAAAGGGCCAGCAACGCGCGTTTCGCTTCTGGTGTACTCTGTGACTCTCAGCCGTCCGTGGTAGGCAATGATAACGTGCTATGAAGTGATTCGTCTGGTTAATTGCCTCCTATTCAATAAAAAGTAAACATTGCACACGACCTATTTTCAGCTTTCTAAAGTGAATTAGATATTTGTAGCGAACCTTAACTAGATTTTGTGACTTAGGCATGTAAATTAGTTTCATTGTATAACAGTTTATCTATACTTCTATACTAATATTATAAGGTTTGTATGTTTGTAACTTTGTATGAAGGGGGTAATCTTTGGAACCGCTGGGCGGATTCCCAAAGTTCTTTCACTTATTGATAGCTACAATGTTCCTGAGTGCTATAGCCTATAAAACATCACGCTGCAGCGAGTGAAACCGCGCGAGATTAGCCAATCGATAAATAATACTCTTTCTCTGACATCTATTGACGCAAAACAATAGCCACAATGCCCTTTCTGCAAAAATCACGTAATCTTTGGTTTCAATATCTCGGGAACGTTTGATTCATTTCTTATAATCTCAGTGGATTGTTAGGGCTGGGATCACGCGGGAAGGGGGCCTAATCCCGCAGTAATCCCGTGCTCAACCGCCCATCGGCCGCATCAACTTCCAAGCTCTTCGAATCCCTTTAATACCCTAAATTGATCTTGACTTTTTTCAAAACTTCTGTTATTATTGTCTGGCAGTTTTTGCTCGTTAGGTATGAGGAATATTCGAGAGATGATCTCCGGCCACCGTAAGCGCGGGTCTGCGGACGGCGAGTAAGAGTAGCTCGCCGCTTGACCATAACCAGACCCGAGCGTACGGCACGCGCCTAAAAGAGCCAATGGACCACCACAGACGGTGCCCTATAGGGCTGATGTTCAGCCAGGGTCGCGGGTTAAGCGCAATGACTCATCGTGCCCTCGGCCCAGAGCAGGAGAAGGAACGGGGGCGTTTTTAGTGAGTAAGAGTCTGACTGACTGGCGGGAGAAGTCATTGATACTTGTCTCGCGACCCGGGAATTTCCGTTCTCACGAGTATAAGAGAATGGATGAGTTAGACTTACCATAGAAAATTATTAATTCTACTATCAAAGGCATTATTGCTTTCAAACTAACTGAGGGTAAACGGTTACCGTTGCCAAATTGCTCATACCAGATAACAAGGGCATTCGAAATTCATCGACGTGGTTTAGATAGTAAGAAATGATTCTTGGATAAAGATTTTTGAAGTCAATTCAACACCCTGATATAAATACTGGGTAATACTCTCTCGCGATTTCACCCGCTGCTCGTCTCCATTTAATCGTAGCGTGATGTTTTATAGCCTATAGAACACAGGAATATTGTAGCCATCTATCAGTAAAAGAATTTTGGCAATCCGACCAGCGGTTCCAAACATTACCCCCTACATATAAACTTGTAGCGACATCAACGTCGTCACAAAATCCTGCATCGCGCAAGCAAGATTATCCACACGATTGGAACACATAGAACAAACCAGAAATCATCTATCGGGCAGTTGTCCACCAGACACAACACCCATCTGGTCGGAGGATCCTCCCCTTTCAATGGAGAATGAGGAACTTTCCACCCTGTTGTCTCATACCTCTAAATTACAAACTTTACTTGTTTATAATATTAATATAGGTCGCACTCAACGAGATATTGACCTTAGCAATCATTCTTACTTGGTGTAAGCACAATGATGTTCCGCAGCCCAACTTGTAAGAAGAGAAGAAACGGATGGTGCTTAGACAGTAAAAAACTAACAACTTCCTCTAGCATCTAGCCACCCTCACTTAATACCAGCGTAATTGTATGTAGTAATATGAAACGCAAATATTTAAAAGTTAGCACCCTCACCTAGCCAGGGAAAGTATTATAGACACCTACACTACAAATCAAATTTTGTTGCCTTAAACAACAATTTCAACCTACACACAAACTTAATAAAACCACTACTCGAAGCCCACATTTTCATAATTCCTTAACCTTTAACCTAACAAGTAAAATGAGCCCAATGGTTAAGCAACTAACGTGTTTCACTTTAATGGCTTATAACACGAAACTTATAAGGTGGACATTGTTGAAACGAGGTCGTAACATTGATATGAATTCTATCGATTATGTTCGTAACGCCAGCAAACGAATGACTGGTTCGCGATAGTAAACGTTTTTTTTTAAAACATTGATACTAGGATTTTCCTACGTCGTAAAAAAAAAATTGTAGATCACACAAACAGTTGTTCCGAGCGGTAATCGAAACCGCGCCATGTTGCGCGGCAGCCAGTTAACGTGCCAACCCTGCAGTCAAGTCAAGGAACAATGCAGTCAATCGAAGAACTTTTTTTATATGTTAGGACGGCAAATTATCCGGCGGACTACCTGATAGTAAGCAATCAGCGTAAGATTCAACCAATGGACACCCGCAACAATAGAAGAGTTAAGTTGCCGATCTTCTAGGGATAAGGGATTTCGAAATTTTGGGATTGCGGGAGGGGAACCTCACTCATATGGCAATATACAATTCTATGATTTTTTCACGCCGGTTTTATGTGAAGCCTTGGTATCACTCCGGTTGAGCCAACCCATTCGTGCCGAAGCATGGCTCTCCCACACTTACTCGTACACTGAAGTTAATTGGTATTAAATAGGTACCTATAATGACCACAATAAAATGCTTTTAAAACCCTTCATTTTTGTACTTTAAA